GGAACTCCCTCCCACAGGAGGCCAAACTGGCCTCATCTTTACTGTCTTTCCACAAGCAAGCAAAGACCTTTCACTAAGCAGCTTTCTCTTAGTGACTGTCTGTTTGAATGGGGTTGTTAAATGCATTGTTGAGCCTTGCTGCTTTGAATGCATTTTGGTGTTGCTTATATTTTTAGCATAATATTTGTCTGGCCCTTTTTAGTATTTGCATACACACAGTTGTTAGCTTTAAACATTGTCTTTTAATGATATAAGCCACTTAGGGTCCTTTTTAAGGAGAAAGGTGAGGTTGAAATATTTTAAATAAATGAGTATTGCAGGCTTCCATCAAAGAATGGAAATGTTTTCTGAAAATAACAAGACGTTATTTTTTGTGAAGTCAGAAGTCCTAGATGGAATATTTTTTCTCACGTGCTGTTTTAGCGAGGTCAAGTATGTCAGAGGCTGTTATAACATTCACCTCCTCTTATTGACATTCACCTCCTCTAGATATCACCACGGTTGATATCTACAGAATCCACCACTGATCCTTTGATATTAAAGAGTACACAATAATGGAATACTTTCAGAAAGATGGGACTGTTGTCCGTCGTGGTGATTTCATTGTGGGTTCAGTATTGCATATGCATATCAATTTCTATTGCCTGCATATGGAGTCAAAAGGAAATCACATAAACATCCCACTCACTCTTTTAAACCCCCTCTTCATTGCATGACTGATCTCAGCATGATAATGACAGTGGGCATGATGTTGTTCTTTTGATTTATATACCACCCCATAGGGCTAAAGCACTCTCGGGGGGGGGGTTACAGCTTAATTATGCAAACCCTTTGCCCCCAGTGAGCTGGGTATTCATTTCATTGACCTCAGAAAGATGGAAGGCTACGTCCACCTTGAGCTAGCTACCTGAACCCATCAGGACTGAACTCAGGTCTTGATGAGCAGAGGCTCTGCTGCAGTTCTGTAGTTCAACCACTGTGCCATGGGACTCATCATATGATAGGGAGCCTGCTGGAACAGGGGGGATGCTTACGCAATCACCCTTCCGCCCCACGTTTAGGCAACCAGAGGCTAGCCCCTATGTATGGCAACCTTTTGCGCGCTTGTATGCCAGTGCCCCTGCACTCATACTTCAAAGCCACTGTGCTGATCCAGTGCACTAAGAAACTCTACTTGCCATTAGTATAGCAGTCTGAAGAGGTTACATATGGCAGGCACAGCACTCATCAGGTTGGCAAGAGTTTGTCTCAGGCTAGTTGTTTCCCCCCAAAACTCTCTCTCCTCTTAGACCTGAAGCACAAACTATATGATGGCGAGGTTTTTGGGAAGACCAAACGCAGGAAACAAGTTTCTCTGCTGCCCACAGAGTTAGTTCACAAGGTAATCCTTGTTGAGAATTGTCTGGATGAGAGGGTCCCTGCAGGATCCTTAGGCAAAAGCATAAGAAGTTGCAGCTGATTCTTCATACGTGTGCTAAGCCTGTACTGTGTTCTTTTATAAACTTTTTTTACGTGAGAAAGGGACAGACTCTTGCAGACATGATTATATTCTCTTTCGTCCAGGTATAACCATAATAAGAATAAAACTACGTTGTAATCAGATAGCGATGATATTTGATGGAGGATGGGGCAGATGGGAAAGATTGCACATATAGCTCACTTGTTCTTTGTTTAGGCGGCTGGCATTGTTATATGATTTGTTTTGTTTAAACCAGGATCTTACTGCAAGCTACTTCTTCTTTCTTTCTTTTTTGTAAAGCAGGGACAAGGATAATATAAGTCTCTCCCTTTTAAAATGATTTCTGACCATGTATGAGTTCTACATCTGATCCAACTCCTTCAAATTTTGGCACCACAATTTACTCAAAGTTAGAAGCCAGTGATAACTCACAACCAAAGATCTCCAATGGGAAAGGGGTTGGTTTTAGGATTTTCTTCTCCATTACACAGCTTTTCCAGACAGCACATTTGTTCCATAAAATGTACCTGATTCAACTTACAAGTTCCAGATTGTGTTGTTGTTGTTGTTGTTGTTGTTTCTGCTGTTGTTTTAACCATCCAGACAACATTGCCCCCAACCCTGGTTTGAACAGAAATTAATAGAGGTTTAGGGGGTTGATGTCCTGGGCCTTTTCAATTTTCTTTGGGTTTTTTCCCCCATTCCATATTGTTGCAGTTTCCATCCCCATCTGAAACTTTACCTCCCCATTCTTTTTCCTTTCACAAACAACCCTACCATCTGCATCCTACAGTGGAGGTTGGGTGCTCTTGGGCTATCTTGTGCTTCCATAATTTTAAAAGAACTTTTTGGAAAAGCTAAATAAACAGGGTGCCAGAGGTGTCAGAGTGGGACAGAGGTGTCAGTAGGAGGTGTCAGAGTGGGGTGGTCATGCAAGGACTCTCCTTCCTTCCAGAGAAGGAAGTGGAGGGATGTTTAGATCCCAACCAAAGGAACAGATAGGTTTATTCTCCAAATAGACATGCCAGGGAATCCTCAGTGTCAAATTAGCCTTTGCCAAAAAGCAAATGTCTCACATCTTCTCCTTCAGAAGCAGGAACGGTAGGTTGTTTATGCAAGTGATAGAACTTCAGGTTACCCTTGTCTGCATCTTTTTCTGTTTGTGAAAGGAAAGATTTGAGTCTCATCTGAGCATTCATGGTAGCTTCTCTGCATCATATTTCAAACAAAAATGGCACAGAGCATTTGCTTGTTTGTTTGTTTGCTTTCCTAAATTACAATGGGTGGGACTAGTGGTGGCTCAAGGAGGCATGGCTCCACCTCAGGTTCAAGCTAATCTCCCCCCTCCATGTCATCCTATTTCTGTCTCTGTCCTTATAAGAGGCAAAGGGCCTGTGTGTATAATTTCAAATACTGTACCTGTCTGTCTATGCGCATTTGTGGTGTGGGGAGAGGGAGAGAGAGAGAGAAAGTGTCAGATATAGTGTAGATACGAACACCTACTTGTGCCTTAAGTCGGGACCCAATGATCCATAGGGACCCAATGATCCATAGGGTCCCTTCCAGTTCTGCAGCTCTAAGACACACACACACACAAGTTGCTGTGCCCACCAGGTACAATGGGCACCAGCTGACACTGTCTAGGACAGAAGAATCACTGAATGGCTTCAATAAATAGATTAGGACATTTTTCTCTCTGTCTTTTGCACACACACACACACACACACACACACACACACACACACACACCCAAAACAAGCACAAAAACAACATGAAGCAAATCCCTAATATGCCCAAGGTGCTGGAAAGGTTGCAACACTTGTCCAGGTGACAATGCCAAAGAACGCCTACATTGTAGGCTGAGTTCTGTATAGATGATTTAACACAATGTTGATTTAGGAGAAGATAAATCTGGTCCTGGAGGCCTGAGGGCTAATGATTAACAGATTGAGAGTATAAGAACCTTTAAGACAGTGCACTCCGATCTTCTCTAAAACCCTGCCTTAGGCTTTTGCTGGCAGAGGAGGATGGAGGGACGGAGGAGAAATTTTCCTTGATATTTTTTTCCTAAACAAAAGAGAAAATATGTCCCTTCCGTTGCTCAGAAATTTTAGATGAGCTTCTAGATCTGATCTAAAATATCTCCAGTGTTAAAAGGGCATAGCAGGGAGCCAGGTGGATTTGAATACTGCTTATCTAGACCCAAGACTGGTGACAAACATGCAACCACGTTCTGTTTCTGGCTTTGTAAGAGGAGATCCAAACTAGCCTATGGGACTGAGATGCTGTCCATGTAGTTAGCTAGGGTTTTAGGGATCTGGCTGTGAAGCCAGAGGTTGGGAGTTTGATTCCCAGCAGGGTCTTCTCTGAGTAGACCCAGACAGTGTGGCCTTGGGCAAGCTGCACAGCTCCATGAAGTCCCCAGGAGAAGGGAACAGTAAACCACTTCTAAGTATTCTTGACCTGGAAAACCCCAAAAAGGGTGGCTGTAAGTCAGAATTAACTTCACAGCACATGATTATTATTTAAAGTAAACTGGATTGCTCGGTGGTTTAGGTATCTGGCTGTGGAGCCAGAGATTGAGAGCTTCATTCCTCACTGGACCTCCTGCGAATACCTTGGGCAAGCTGCACAGATCCAAGGTGCACCCTGAAGAAAGGAATAGGAAACCACTTCTGCGTATTCTCTATCTGGAAATCCCTGGGAAGCGTTGTCATAAGTCAGAATTGACTTGACAGCACACAATCATTATCAGCAGCATAATCGTTATTATGAAAAGAGGAGCATATTCTCCTGAATAGGAAAGTAAATTATCGAGCCACATTTATATACACAAAAAAATATACAGGAAAACAATAAGTGGTGTGGTCAAAATACCACGGCATGATAACCAAAAAATAGTCCACAATGTTTCTAGGTAAAGTTTAAAACAACCTGTATTTTGTTTGGCTTTTCTATTTCAGTGCCGCTGTTTTGAATGGGTAAATCTTGATAGATAGATAGATAGATAGATAGATAGATAGATAGATAGATAGATAGATAGATAGATAGATAGATAGATAGATAGATAGATAGACAGATAGACTGATTGATTGATTGATTGATTGGGGATTTCACTGGAAATATCTAAGACTGAAAGCTGTTCTTTATATTTCATTATCTTTTGGATCCATTTGCAGCATGAATTTGACCCAACTCCGGGAGGCAGTGGAAGACAGGAGGGCCTGGAGTGCTTTGGTCCATGGGGGGTCACGAAGAGTCGGACACGACTAAACGACTAAACAACAGCATTCTTCTGCTTGACTGTAAGTCACCCACATTAGCGCATTGCACTATCAAAAAAGAAACCTCCTTTCCTATGAGGAGAGACTCAGAGAGGCAAGGGTTAATAGCTCCGCCGGGCAACCAATGGAGGTGGGAAAGCCGCCCTCTGTGACACACACGCCTTCCAATGGCGTTCTTCTATCGGCGGAGGCGGGACGCCCAAGGTTGACAAAAGCTTCGGCATAGGCTCGTTCGGCAAGAATCCGTGCGCGGCGTCTTAGCCTGGCGGAAGTACCGGCGAGGCCTTCGTTGACGACCTTCGCTGTTGCCGCCACTTCCTTCTTCCGCCCGGCCAGGTGTCTTGGGTTGCGTCGCTTCTGCAATGCTGCTGGCCGGTGACGAAGCCCCGACCGGGGAAGGTACGTGCTCGAAAGGGGGCAAGCCGGCTTCTCCCCGCCGCTCTCCTTTTGGTTCCAGCTTCAGTCGGTGGCTGCCCGGCTCCCTTTCTCTTTCTGTTGCTCCACCGACGTGCAGCAACAGAAGCTCTTAATTTAATTTTAATGCAACCGAGAGGAGCCGGTGCAGCGAGGCAGCCCATCAGCAGGGCAAGGTCCCGAGTCCCACAGGGTCGAAGACGCCCTTGCGTGCTGGGACGGCCCTTTGGTCTCCTTAGGGGGGGATAAGAAATGCAAAATTTGCAAAATTTTCCATTTTTTTTCCCCAGGAAAAAAAACCTGGGGGGGAAATGGAAATTTCCATTTCTCAGTCGATCCAGTCTAGACGACTTTCCATACATACATTTCCCCCCCCCGGGAAGGGGGGGATCGTTTTTTCCCGTCTCCCCCCCCGTAAAAATGGACATTTTTGCAAAATTTGCATCTCTGCGTGAGCAGCGATGCAGCTGCAGAAGCTCATCCCAGCTTTTGTTTGGGATGATGCATTTTTTTTTTCGTTTGCTGACTGTTGAGGCAGAGATGGGAATCGAACCGTTGGAGAGGAAGCCCAGGTAGCAACCGGGCTGCCCGGCAAGGTGGTCCCATGGTCTCTCATTGAAAAGGTGGCTTGCAGAAACCCCCAACGTGCAGTGACATCTTAAAACCTTGCCACCCTGCAAACCCTGACAGCGTTTCTGACCATATCTGCTCTGTGGATTGTCTTCCAGTGTCACTCCTGAAGCACAATAGTGTAATCTTAATGTTTTTCAGACTGCCGCAGGGCTGTGGTTTTTGCTACACCTCCAACAACAGGTCTACATCTTTGGGAATTATGATTGTGGAGTCTGCACAACAGAGATGCCTCTGCTATCACATGAGTTTTCTTTGCCCTCCCAAGACAGAGGGCTAACCGAAGCTTGATGCTAAATTTGCCTTCAAGCTCCTCTGTCTTTGTTTGTAAGCAAATTGTGTCAAGTGGAGAGAGCTGATGATGAATGGGATCAGACCAAGTGTAAAAGAGTGGATGTTGTGACCCTGCAGAAAATCCACCTTGCTTTTTTTTCCCTCCCCCCCCCCCCCCCCCCGGAGCCACTTCTTGGGGGATCCACCATTAATCCCCTGTGGGTTCTCTGCTATCAGTTAAGGCAGTTCTCTTAAAAGGAAATTAAAATTGAATGAGATTGTTTCATTTTCCTTGATGAAGGCTCATGGCCAAAATATGTGGCAGTTTTGATTTTGAACGATGTAGTTCAGCAGCCTTTCAAGATATTGATGTATATCATGATTTGGGACTTAAGGCTTTGGAGTTAAAATGAATGGACAGTGACCACTGATATCGTATTAGGCAATGGGTGAGCTTATACAGTAATAAGTTTTTCCTTTATTAAGCGTCTTCAGTTTTCTGAACTGAATTTTGGCAGGGACCATATTGTTATTGTCAATCTGATAAACACCAATATCTGTTTAACTAGTGTTGCAGTAAATGTTTAAGATTCGGAGAACATGTGATTGTATAATACCACTGAGGCAAGATATTTGTGAATATTTTAATTGCCTGAACGGGAGATTCTTGAAGCATCATGTGAAGCATCCTGAGCTTAGTATTGGCTGCAAATTGTTAAAATGCATAATTATTATTGATGATGATGATGATGATGATGATAATAATAAT